GTTCACAACCACGCCTGAAATCTCGATTATCACTTTATCATGCGAGAGTATAAAATGTTCGGTGACACCCGAACTTTGCCCTTCCTTACTTGTTTTGAATAATTTTAAGTTTTAGTGCAAATATTTAGTTTTTTATAATAAATAAGCAATGTTTGGTATACATTCTTAAGTCAAAATTGACTTGAACAAGTATTTAGCGCACTTTAAAATATCTATCAGACAAAAGAAATATTACTAACAAGTGGCGTGAAATTCTTTGATATTATATTTATCCTGGTTATTACCTCTACTTCTGCTTCTTTGCCAAATTTTTCCTTTGACTTCATTCCATAAGTTTCGAATCGGGACCAGATTTGGACTTTGCGCTGGCCAATCAACAAATGGAACTTTTGGTTGCGCAAGCTAGTTTTTCCAATATGTTGGGGATCGTTAACGTGCATAAAGATCCAATCTKCTGGCACAACATCATAGGTGTAGGCTCCGTTGTATTCCTTAGTATATTAAGATATGTAAATTTATCCATTTTCTCCTCTATCTTTACTATTGGTTCAAGCCCAAGCCAGGAAAACGACCAAACMAAACTTTTAAATTTCCTCCACCATGCTTTATGGTCTTTTTTATATATCTTGGATGGCTTTCTTGGTTTTTCTCTTAATGTAAATAAAAATATATAATTTTCCAAAAATTTAAATCTTTAGATCTGCAACTATTAGCGAATGCCAAACGTACATTATTCTTTTTCGTCAGTAGTAGTATTTTTATGCTCACACGGCCAAACAAAATATTTTCACTTAAACGTCTCCGCATTTGACATGTTTAAGCCCAATTCTGCATTGACTTCGAMCATAATTGCGCGAGATGATTTGAAAGGATCAGCTTTACATTTCCCAACAATTATTTTATCCTCACGGTGCGTTGTTTCGCGAGACTGTGCCTTACGAATTGTGTTTTGAGATAACATATTGGGATCACTTTTAACATATATTATATACACTTTTAATATAACATTTTTCTGAAACATTTCACTATATTCACTATTTTTACTTGGTTTATACCGTTTTTGTAAATGTCACAAATAATTCTTCTTTTTTTCAAATTAACAGTATTATTCTTTTGGCATTYAATTACAATTTGTAATAAAATTAACTATTAATTACAACTGAGAGCGGTTATTTGTTAAATCAAACACAACTAGTGACCGAAAACTATAAGTGCGCAAAATCATTGTCAAAGTTTTATGACGAAACTTATCAGAGATATATTAGCAACATCTGAATAGAAAGATAACGGTCATTTTCCTACTCATTCAAAAAGGGGCGAGAAGCAGTATTGATCTCCTAATTATAGAAATATCACTCTCTTACAAGTAACAGCAATATTTGTAATTATGAATTCAAGTGCGCTAAATATTTGTCCATAGCTATATATTTGAATATTACAATACTTTCTCTTTCTTTACTTACCATAAAAGGCGTTTTTAGTGCAATTTCGATTCTTTGTCCGGTTGAAAAGATTGTGCTCCTTATTTAAATCACAAATGCTCAAAGTAAAATATTCGTCAGCTTATAGCTTTTGTAAATTGTTTATTTATTAAAATATATTTGATTAATTTGAGTGTTATACATTTACACCAAAAGTTTCCTTTATTTGTTTGGTTCTGAACTTTTTAGTAAYAGAAACGTCAATGACACTGAAATACACAAACCATAGATATTACTTATTAGCACTAGACACTTTAAATTATTCTAAAATAAGAGATTAACAAAAGTTGTTCGCTCGTTTCACTTCAGGTTCAGTTAGCACTAAGTTGAAGTCGCGCGGGCGTTATGCGCCATTTCGGATACGGGGAGCTTTCAGCGGTAGGCGAGTGTGTGTCTTGGAGTTGTTTCGAAATGAGCAACGATCCGATTAGAACCTAAATTGTAGCTCATAATGTGGAAAAGGTGTACATGTGTGTGTGTACTTTTTATTAATGTTCTTTTTGTAGATAAAGCATATGGTTAAACTTGATAAGGCACTCAATACGTTATGCATTAAATTAGCAGCATTCACGTTTTTCTCAAATACATTGACAATATACATACATATACATACATGTGCATACATATACGGGTATATGGGATGGTATTTAAACAGTGCGTTGAGATGTTTCCGACGCTTTTATTTGTGTTTAACACAAATTCATCGGCACAAGCGCACTGTGCCCCACTGTTCCACGAGTAAGAGGTTTTAGAAAACAAAAACAAAAAAAAAAAAAAAACAAAAAACGAAAGTAGCAGTTAGACTGTTTATAGCATTCAGACAAACTAATGGTATTTTAAGAACAAGTCATTTTAGTTTATTATATTAGCGTAGTTCTCAAAAATAATTAACTTTGCATTGCCAATTTATTGCTTTCGCTCTTTTTCTCGATATACCAGCGTAAATATGAGTGAACGCGTTTGAGAGCCTATAGGCTCGGCAGCTTTTTCCCGTCGTCAAACATTTTATATTATTTGTTGTATAGTTAGTATCGTKGCCCCCATAACTCCCACCAAAAGCTCACTAATGTTTGTACAGACATATGTATGTATATGCCATTGCTGCAAGTTGACTGCTAATAATTTCTCTCGTCGCACTAGAAACAATATTGACCTAGGTTCCATTCGGCGCGCACGCACACCAGCAAACAGCGGCGCTACTAAAATTCGCATTGTTTTAGCTATGGCAGCGTTGCGTGTGTACACTAACAAATACATTGAGTCGATATCAAGTGTAAAGGTTTTTTTTTAGGTACATTACATACATACTTCCAGAGAGAATGTTTTTTGCACACTGTCTGTTTTTATTTTTACATGACATTATGTTTTTTCTAATTTTTTCGGATTATCAAGCATATTTCCCCTTCGAATGATTTTTAGTTTACGTAAGTATTTATTCATGTCAACTTTAAAGTTGTACATTCTCACATACTTATTTACTTTCATATGTGTATGTGTATTCATACAGATGTTTGATTTTAATATCTGTATTTTTTCTAGGTTTTAGAATTGTTTAAACGTTCTCGTGCATATCTACATATGTATGTATGTATGTACATATGTTCAAAATGTTTTCACTGGTTGCCAAAAATGTTTCTGTTCAAATAAATTTGTTCATTCACTTCGTTTTGGATCACTTTTTAGCGTCATATTTTTATAATTTCCGTTTAAATTTAATTCAAACTACGCTTCACCTTTCTCATTCTATTATAATGCATTATATATGTACATATGTAGGTAAATATATACAATTATAAAGAAAGTTCGTGTTTAGCTTTGAGTACGTCTACTCGGCGGATACGTTGTGGACCGCTTGCAAGTTGATTCAGTAATACCAACGACACTAGCAAAATGTTACAGTTGTTCTGTGTCTAACCGCTGCTACTGCTGTTGTCGCTGCGCTGCTACTGTCGCTGCCGCTGTCGATGCCGCTGCTTGCGACGGCTTAGTCGGTTACCTCAGTTGTCGACGAATTCAAGTTTATTTTGATGATGGCGATGGTGGAGGCAACGGCGAATGCGCTGGTATATTGAYATCCCAGTTGCAAGGGTCATGGTGTCCACGCCGATTTTGTCCATACAATGGGGGGTTCTTCACAAGCTGTGGCGTCGCAAAAGTGAAAAAAGAGTCTTCTACCGTCTCTCACCCCTTCGTATACGMCCCTGTTGCTTTTTACGAAGGTCTCTTTGAATACACACATTCATATATGTATACATATGTACATACATACACAGTCGTAATGCTTAGGACAAGAGTAGAAAAGCTCACATGCATTTGCTTCACTGAAACAAGCGTAACGTATATACATACGTAAAATAAGTATTTAAATAAGCATTTTTTTATTAGTATGTACCTGAATCACTCATACATAAACATATACATATGTACATGTTTACACACACGCATACTCGTGTCTGTATTTTAATAAATGAATCTCACGTTATTCTCGTGCGTCAAAGCGGCATGTACATACATATGCTTGTATGTATTTAGGCGCCGTTCTTTTAGCTGAACCGGCCCCACACGCTAACAGAGTGCTCCTACGAGACTGTTCACCGACAAAATACAATACAAAAATCAACGTCATCACCAACGCTAATACACACCCAAAAGTAAATTATAGTCTGGTTGCTGAAGCTTCTGTTGTGGTCGTTGGCGCTGTTCTTCTTTACTTACTCAATAAAATTTTTATTATGATATCGCGTTATAAGTAAGCTGACGAATACGACAGCGTAGTTACACACACATATGGTATGTATGTACATACATATGTATGTATGTATACATACACATGCATAATACACTACAAATGTGTACGAAAACGGCACACACGATCTTTTTGCACGCCAGTTTTTCTTCTTAATTTTGTTTATGTGTTGTGTCAACGAATTTTAAATATTTACATAGATTCTTACACAAAATGGGGTTTTTTAAGTTTTAAATATAAATGGGAGTGATGGTTCAAACCTCGTTAAAAATACATGCTCGGGATATATGATGGTATTCTGTCATAGCTATTCTACAGATATTTTCAGAGATTGGTAATCCTAATAATTACTATCAATGTAAGGTTCGCAGGKATTTGGTGTTGACTTTATGCAAGTATATACCCCTTACATACCTTCTTTGTTATTATAAATTGTACAAATTTACGTGATTTTCGTAACTTTTTATCATAAATAGCTTTCTGACTAATATTTKTATACCCTGAACAATAGTACGGTGATTGCGAAACCTATAGAGTTATTTTTAATTCCATAACAACCGGGAGTTTTGGGTCGTTATCCTGTTGTAAACAGAAGTGGCCGCTATTAACATCCGATTTAAGCGCACTTAAAATGTAWATTTTTTTGCTAAATTGTTCAGATACATACATATCTTTATCCATGTTTTCACTAATAAAGTCCAAATGTCCAACTCTAGATGCAACCATACACCCGCAAACCATAACATTACCTCCACAGTGCTCTACCATTGGCAATAACTTTTYTCCTTGCAACTCTTCATTGATCTTTATCCACACTTTTCGTGATCTATTCGAACCAAATATATTAAATTTTGATGCGTCGGTGAGCACAATGTTTTCCCAAAACCGATACGATTTGTTTAAATATTGTTTAGCAAACACCGACCTTTTCCTTTTATTAACTTTACTTTTGTATAGCTTACGACGTGCGATTCGTCCATGATGCCSAGCACTCTTCAACACATTACTTTCTGTTTGAGGATTTATTTTTTTGTGTACATTTCAAAAATGGATAAACACATATTTCTGAACATTTTAACAATCGGCTCGGAATCGGCTGTTAATAGCAGCAAAATCAATTTCCAACAGGATGCCGACCCAAAATACACGTCTTATCTTGTACGTGAATGTTTGTTATGGAGTTAAAAATAAATSCATAGGTCCCGCAATCACTATACATTAATTATATTCAAAATATCTGGAACTTTTTGGAAAACCGTATTCGAAAACATTGAATTTAATCAAAATAAGGCCAAAAAGCTGGATCACGGTCTTAGTGGGTCAAAATATTTGGAAATAATAATAGAAATTGAGTGGGGAGTATACATCGATGTATAGGGACAATAATAGCAACAAAATGTAGGTCAAAAACCGCTAAAACTATTGTAATTACTTTTGATTTATATAAATAATAATTAGTGTACGTAAACTTTTTTGATATCAATTATGCCCATTTTAAGCYTTAGCATTAATKTTTTTATGTGTGTAAAACAAAAATATTTTGATATGCTAAATTTAATGTTAAATACACATCTTTTGAAATGGATAGAAGAAAACCACAAAATTTATTCATTTTATCTTTTACATACATATGCATGTATGTATATAAAAATGAATCGCAAAATATGTTGCTAAGCGCATACCTCAACAACTACTGGATCAATTTGGTCAATTCCTTTTTCTAAACGTTCGTTGAGGTTCAAGGATGGTTTCTAAGGCAATAAAATTTCGAATAATTTCCGGGAAACCCCTAAAAGCTGCCATTTTCTTTTTCCCATACAAACGAACGAATGTTGGTTTGTTAGTAACGTTAAGAGAACGGCTGCACCAATATTGAGGAAATTTTCAGAGGTTGTTCGTTGTGGATCGGGGAAGGTTTAAAAATAAAAATACCTTATACTTTTCATGAGGAAAAGTCGTAAAATTGGATAGTTCCAAAAAGTAACTCTTTTCCATACACATTTTTTTT